TGTAAAAATACTATATTTTCTTTTTAATTTTTAACAAAATATGTTTTTTATAATTAAAATAAAAATAACAAATTTTAGTGCCTAATAAATATTTGAGTATAATATTTTATATAATATATAGATATAAATACATAGATATGAATGTAGACCGTTAATCTAAAAATTTTTACCTTTTGATTTTTTTTATATATAAGTTTTATTAATTGTTAGTCTAATAATCAAATAATTTTTATCTTATACTTTTTTTTTCATCTTCCTTAGTTATTTTTAATTCTTATTTAATCAAATTCATAGCTCTTTAAAATTGAAGTTAAACAATATCAATTATTATTTTAATAAAAAAATCATACTTTAACAATTATTTTTCTTGTCCCTTTTCTCATTTCCAATTTCCTATCATTTTTGTCCATTCTTATTTTATTCCTTTAACTTGTATTACAAACGATTTTAATATGTTAATATAAATGCTCAAATTAAAGTTACAAAAAAAACTATTTAAATGAGATTTTAGTGTAATTAAATGCACATTCCTAAATATATATAACAGTAATATTCACTACTAAATTTCCTATTTTCAGCAACATGCTTTCATGTTGCTGAAAAAGGTTCTCATGTTGCTGAAACTACTTCAGCAACAAACCTTTAGTTGCTAAAAACTTTGTTGGAAATGCTTTGGTGGGTGATACATTAGCAACAAGAATTTTGTTGGTGATGTATCAGCAACATAAGGCACATTGTTGAAAATGTAATACCCCAAAATTTTCAAGAACATAAAGTTGAGTTAGGGACTTAATGGTGAGGAAACGTTATTAATGGACCCTAGAGTCAAATTTTCAAACTTTAAAGGGGTCAAAATCTTTTTGGGGATAAGGTCGGCTGACTTTCCTTCTTTTTCTTTTTTATCTTTTTTCTTTCTTTCTTTCTTTTTCCCTAGCCATTTCACGTGTTTGCTCTGTTTCTTTCTCCCTGCAACCCGAAGAGAAGCTCCAAGCCGCCTACACCCATATCCTTGAGAAACCGATGATTTCTCTTCCTTTTCTTGCTCAAGAACCAATTTTCAGGCCTAGAACACTCTCTAAACCCAAGAGAATTTCAGATCTAAAACTGTCCTCCTTCCCCTCTGCCATCGGCTGTTGCTAGAGTGAATTCTGGTTTTTCCTGTAGTGGTTCCCGTGCAAGCCTCCCCAATTTTCCCGTCGGCTCCTCCCATATCCGCCAACTCCAGCCTTGCTTGTTGAGTATTTTTGGTCCTTGACCGTCCTGTGACCTTAGCACTTGGGTTAGGCCTTCTATCCTGTGCACTTAAGATAAGTAAATTTATGGTAATGCCCGTACAGTTTTTACAAGCATGTTTGACTTGTTTTTGAAGTGGTGGCGGGACTAAACCCGTTTTATACAAAATAAGTATGATGGATTTAAAATGCAAATTCTTACTCTTTTATTAATTTTAGCATGCCTGCTTGGAATTTATTTAATTGCCCTGATGGTCTGAAAATTATCTGTAAAGAATGATTTTTTGTTAAATTCAGCCTGTTTTGTCTCCGATATGGTCATGTTATTCTGTAGCCCACCAGTGGGAGGTTTATAAACGCTAGCACATGTCGACATGTATTTTTGTAGAGCCGGTTCCTTCTGCCAGTGGGAGTTGTTAAACACTGGTATTTTTGTAATCCTGCTAGTGGGAGGTTTATAACACTAGCCGTGACCTATAAAGGATACGTCTATTTCGTTCCCATACTTGTATCCGTTTTTCTTATTACACTTGTTGGTATGCTATAAGTTTAATTGACTACTACTGAACTTTATTCTGCATAATGGTTTATCATCGAACATTCCGTTTATGTTTAAACTGTTTATTTGAAATGCTCAAATTTTACCCACGGGTTATCCATACATTTACTTATTGAGATATTTTATCTCATAGTTTTCCTTGTCCACCATTTCAGGTAGTGAGACCCGATGCAGGGGGAGCTCGGGAGAGTGACGAGCTAGACGGCTAGGCACTTTTGGACTTAGATTTTTGTAGCTAGGCCGTTAGTCACCATGCTTGACTTAGAAATTTTTGTGTACAGAACTTCCTTAGTTTTAATCATGATCGTATTTAGGAAGTGATAAATTTGTACATTTTGACTGGTAAATATTTGGTAAATAAAAAGGTTTAGATCTAAATTGTTTGAATTGCTAAGTAAGAACTCAGTAGATTCCGAGCCTTGTGCATTTGTGGGCCCCGCTCACGAGTACGCGGCGTCTGTCTCACTTTGGGATTTGGGGCGTGACAGATTTTGTGGTATCATAGTCTAGGTTTGAATTAAGAGTCTAAGGCTAGTCTAGTATTTAGCTAGCAAATTAGTTAGAGGAACGTGGTGAGGCATGAGAGTGGGGTTGATTAAGGGCGCTTGTTTGATTTTCCTTAATGTGTGAGATTTTTATTTATTTTATTTTGTTTTGTGTGGCTTGGTCCTGGAAATGGAAACTTGTCGGGAAATTTCTTGTGGAGCATTTGATTAATAGTCTATACACCTTTTATGTGGTTATAGATGGCTCCAAAATGGCGTGGGTGCCCGAGGGGTAGCCGTAAGGATCAGGGCACTCCTCCGATCCTAGCTGCCAGTCCTTTTACCCAAGCTGCTCCGCAGAAGGGAGGGACGAGCAATCCTCAGTTGGCCACCTCTGTTTAGGAACTTATGGCGAAGATAAGACGCCAAGTATCTCCTGCCACAAGTGTGCCACCTCCATCCCCGGTGGTTTCCACTCCTACGGCCCCTGCTCCAATTTCCCCTATTCTTATATCTTCTACTCCTGCTGTGCCTAGTTGGAAGGTTTATACCGAATTCTAGAAGTTGGTGACCAAGAGATTTGATGGTACTGCAGGTTTTGAGCAGGTGGGATCGTGGATCACTGAGGTGGAGCAGGGATTCCGCCTACTGTAGGTTTCTGATGACCTTAAGGTCAATGTAGGCAGTTACATGCTTACTGGGAAGGCATTAACTTGGTGGGAGAGTTATTTGAAGCTACACCAAGGAGAGCCTGAATTAAGCACTTGGGATGGTTTTAAGAAGGTGTTCATGCAAGAGTACATACTGGATAGCAAAAGGTGGGAACTGCAAAGGGAATTTGCAGACTTAAAGCAAGGGTCAGGTACTGTTGAGCAGTACATGGAGGAGCTTGACTGCTATCTGCCTTTTGTGGGTAGCCAAGTTGGCGATGAGCAAGCCAAGGTCGACAAACTTCTGTGGGGCTTGAATTTCGATATTTATTTGGCGGTAAACCAATTTAAACCCGCCACTTATCGGGAGGCAGCGGACAAAGCCCTAGACCAGGAGAAGGCTATGGCTAGGGTCAAGTCCTCAGGGCAGCACGGTGTTGGGTCATCCCTTGGGAAGAGAAAATTCAATGGGAGCCGTAGGCCCTTTGTCCCTGCACCACCTAAGCCTGATATTAGCAAGGGTTCGAAAAGGCTAGGAGCTACCAAGATTGGGGCCCAGGCATCCACGGCCCAACGTGCTCACCTTACTCCACCTACTTGCCACTTTTGTGGGAAGGTTGGGCAAACCCATGATCAGTGCCACCTTATTACTGGAGCTTGCTTCAGATGTGGCAAGTAAGCACATCACGTTGTAAATTGTCCGTTGCAAGACCCCAAAACTCAAAGTACTCAATCTACATCTCAGTAGGGGTCTACCAATCAAGGGGCACCGAAACAGAATGTCGGGGGTTAAGAGAAGAGCCTAGTAGGCAAGAGTTCACGTGATGACCCATCAGGAAGCTACGGCTATTGACGTAATCACGGGTACTTTGCCTGTCAACTCTGATTTTGCACATGTTTTATTTGATTCGGGTGCATCGCACTCCTTTATTGCTCGATCTTATGCTTTGAAACGAGTTTTTCCTGTTGATACCTCTGATTTTGAACTACATGTGAACACCCCTTTATGAGGGGTGATGACTACTAGAGATGTGTGTAGGACTGTGGATATTTATATTGATGGTAGACAGTTGGGTGCTAGCTTGTTTGTTTTAGATATTTCTGATTTTGATATCATTTTGGGGATGGATTGGTTGTCAAAACATTTTGCCTCTATAGACTGTCATCGGAAATGGGTAATTTTTAATATTCCTGGTGAGCAAGAATTTAGTTTCCAAGGCAGTGGCTCTTTTGCTCCACCCATGTTAATATCTGCCTTGCAGGCCCAGAAATATCTTGTAAATGGTTGCCAAGGTTTCTTAGTTTTCGTCACTGATGCTAGTAGTGTGACATCGAGACTAGAAGACATACCGGTGGTGCATGAGTTTCCGGATGTATTTTCGGAGAATCTCCCAAGTTTACCTCCGGATAAGGAGGTTGAATTTGCTATAGACCTTGTTCCTGGCACCGGACCTATTTCCAAAGCACCATACCGTATGGCTCCTACAGAATTGAAGGAGTTAAAGATTCAGCTGGAGGAACTCCTTGAGAAAGGGTTTATACGCCCGGCTGTGTCACCTTGGGGAGCTCCAGTGTTGTTTGTTAAGAAGAAGGACGGGAGCATGAGGCTATGCATTGATTACCGGGAATTGAATAAGGTGACTGTAAAGAACCGGTATCCCCTTCCTAGAATTGATAACTTGTTTGACCAGCTCAAAGGTGCTCAGGTATTTTCTAAGATTAATCTTCGATTTGGCTACCATCAGTTGAAGATTAAACCGGATAATGTGCCAAAGATTGCCTTCCGCACCCGTTATGGTCATTATGAATTCATAGTCATGCCATTTGGCTTGACAAATGCCCCTGCTAGATTTATGGATTTGATAAATCGGGTGTTTAGCAAGTACCTAGACCAGTTTGTGGTTGTCTTTATTGATGACATTTTGGTCTATTCTTCTAGCCATGCTCTTCATGAAAAGCACTTAAGGACAGTCCTTGAGACATTGAGAAGTGAGAGGTTGTTTGCTAAAGTTAAGAAGTGTGAATTTTGGCTAGACAATATTGCATTCCTAGGTCACGTTTGTGACTAAGGATGGAATCTCTGTTGACCTCCAGAAAATTGAGGCCGTGGTGAATTGGAAAAGGCCGAATAATGTCGCAAAAATCCAGAGTTTTCTGGAATTGGCTGGTTATTACCGCCGATTTGTGGGGGATTTCTCCAAAATTGCTCAACCTATGACCTGTCTGATCAGGAAAGATGCCAAGTTTGAGTGGACTCTAGAGTGTGAGGAGAGCTTTTTGACCTTGAAGGAGAAGTTGGTCACTACTCCTGTACTCGCACTTCCAATTAATGGGGAAAGATTCACTATATATAGTGATGCCTCTAAAAAGGGTTTGGGATGTGTCTTGATGCAAAAAGATAGCGTTATTGCATATGCGTCTTGGTAGTTAAAGCCTTATGAAGAAAATTACCCTACCCATGATCTGAAGTTGGCAGCTGTAATATTTGCCCTAAAGATTTGGAGGCATTATCTGTATGGTGAGACTTGTGAAATCTTTACTGATCACAAGAGCCTTAAGTATATTTTCACTCAAAGGAGCTTAATATGAGGTAGAGGCGATAGCTTGAACTTTTGAAGGACTACTACTTGACCATTAGCTACCATCCGGGCAAAGCTAACAAAGTAGCAAATGCGTTGAGTAGGAAGTCCTCGGGCACTGCCTCTATCATCCTTGCCACTCAGAAGGAGCTACTTGAGGATCTTGTGAAACTGGATGTGGAGTTGAGAATGGACAGCACTACGGCTTATCTAGCCGTTCTCAGTGCACAACCGACATTAATAGATAGAATTAAACTTGCCCAGCACAAAGATCCTTTCTTGCAAAGGATGAAGGAAAAAGTAAAAGCTAGGGAACCCCACATGCAAGAATTCAGAATTTCTAATGATGAGATTCTGTGGTTTGGTGACAGGCTGTGTGTACCAAGAGATCATGCTTTAAGGCGTGAGATTATGGGAGATGCCCATTATACTAGCTATACAATTCACCCAGGTAGCACCAAGATGTATCGTGATTTGCGTAGTACATTTTGGTGGCGGAACATGAAGAGGGAAATAGCTAGATTTGTCTCACAATGCCTGACTTGCCAAAAAGTCAAGGCTGAACACCAAAGACTTCTTGGAAAACTGCAGCCTTTACCTATTCCCCAGTGGAAGTGGGAAAACATCACCATGGACTTTGTGACTGGTTTACCACGAACCGTAAAGGGTAATGATTCCATCTGGGTCATCGTTGATCGATTGACCAAATTAGCTCACTTCTTACCCTATCGGACTGGCACCTCCATTGAGAAGCTTGCCAATATGTACATGGAGGAGATAGTCAAGCTACATGGAGGAGATAGTCAAGCTACATGGAGTCCCTGTGTCTATTGTGTCAGATAGAGATACCAAATTTTTATCTCATTTCTAGACAAGTTTACAGCAGGCACTCGGTACTCAATTGAATTTTAGCACGGCCTTCCATCCTCAAACTGACGGGCAATCTGAGAGAACTATTCAGATACTTGAGGACATGTTGAGGGCTTGTGTTCTAGATTGGAAGGGTTCGTGGGATCAACACTTATCTATGGCTGAATTTGCATACAATAGTTGTTATCAATCTAGCATCTGCATGGCACCGTTTGAGGCTTTGTATGATCGAAGGTGTAGATCACCTGTTTGTTGGACGGAAGTGGGCGAAAGGAGCATTTTAGGCCCAGAATTGGTGCAACAATCTTCTAAGATTGTGCAGTTGATCAAGGAATGCCTTCGTGCTGCACAAAGCAAGCAGAAAAGCTATGCTGATAGAAGGAGACGAGACCTTGAGTTTGAAGTTGGTGACCATGTATTTTTGAAGGTGTCACCCACTCGAGATGTCCTCAGGTTTGGCATCGGGGGAAAATTGAGTCCGAGGTATATTGGACCATATCCTATCTTGGAAAGGATTGGCGAGGTAGCTTATAGATTGGAATTGCCTGGAAATTTAGCGGGTGTTCATGATGTGTTCCATGCGTCCTTACTTTGGAAGTATGTCCCCGACCCAAGTCACATTATTAATCCCGAACCAATTCAACTCCGAGAGGATCTCACTTATGACGAGCACCCGATCCGCATTTTGGATGTCAAGGAGAGGATAATGCAAAGAAGGACTATTCGTTTTGCTAAGGTCCTATTGGATAACCATTCGATTGAAGAAGCTACTTGGGAGTTAGAATCCAAGATGAGACAAGAACATCCACACCTCTTCCAAGATTGAGGTATGAGTTTAGGGGACTAAACTCCTTTTTATGAGGGGTGGATGTAATACCCCAAAATGTTCAAGAACATAAAGTTGAGTTAGGGACTTAATGGTGAGGAAACGTTATTAATGGACCATAGAGTCAAATTTTCAAACTTTAAAGGAGTCAAAATCTTTTTGGGGATAAGGCTGGCTGACTTTCCTTCTTTTTCTTTTTTTTTTTTTCTTTTTTCTTTCTTTCTTTCTTTTTCCCCAGCCATTTCGCATGTTTGCTCTGTTTCTTTCTCCCTGCAACCCGAAGAGAAGCTCCAAACCGCCTGCACCCATATCCTTGAGAAACCAGTGATTTCTCTTCCTTTTCTTTCTCAATAACCAATTTTCAAGCCTAGAACACTTTCTAAACCCAAGAGAATTTCAGATCTGCAACTGTCCCCCTTCCCCTCTGCCGTCGGCTGTTGCTGAAGTGAATTCCGATTTTTCCTGTACTGGTTCCCGTGCAGGCCTCCCCAATGTTCCTGCCGACTCCTCCCATACCTGCCAGCTCCAACCTTGCTTGTTGAGGATTTTTGGTCCTTGACTGTTCTATGACCTTAGCACTTGGGTTAGGCCTTCTATCCTGTGCACTTAAGGTAAGTAAATTTATGGTAATGCCCGTACAGTTTTTAAAAGCATGTTTGACTTGTTTTTGAAGTGGTGGTGGGACTAAACCCGTTTTATACAAAATAAGTATGATGGATTTAAAATGCAAATTCTTACTCTTTTATTAATCTTAGCATGCCTGCTTGGAATTTATTTAACTGCCCTGATGGTCTGAAAATTATCTGTAAAGAATGATTTTTTGTTAAATTCAGCCTGTTTTGTCTCTGATATGGTCATGTTATTCTGTAGCCCGCTATTGGGAGGTTTATAAACGCTAGCACATGTCGACATGTATTTCTGTAGAGTCGGTTCCTCCTGCCAGTGGGAGTTGTTAAACACTGGTATTTCTGTAATCCTGCTAGTGGGATTTTACACTAGTAATTTCTGTAGCTTGCTAGTGGGAGGTTTATAACACTGGTCGTAATCTATGGATGAGACGTCTATTTTGTTCTCGTACTTGTATCCGTTTTTCTTATTACACTTGTTGGCATGCTATAAGTTTAATTGACTACTACTGAACTTTATTCTGCATAATGGTTTATCATTGAACATTCCGTTTATGTTTAAACTGTTTATTTGAAATGCT